CGCTGCCAAGGTAGCCCACGGCCGAGCATCTCTCCTCCCCGAGCGGGCAGTGCCCCGCAGCAGCCCCGACCTCCCCGGCTGCTCCCGGAGCCGAACAGGGACGGGAGCGGACGGACCGTGCGGGCGAGAGCCCAGCTCCCGACCTCAGTCTTGTGCGTGGGTACAGCCTGCAGCACGCCCGGGGAGAGGTAAAGGCTTGCTCCGAAATACCGTCCCGCATACCGCAGCGAGGTAGGGGAAAAGAACGGCTTTCAGCTGATGGCAGTGCCCCAAACTTTTCCGCAGCAAGAAGCGCTGCAAAGGGCATCTCCCAGCAGAGATGAATGACAGCTGCCATTTCTAAGCACCTTGAAAGGTGCTATCTGCTTCACGGAAGGAAAACACGGCGTGATTTTATGACAAATACCAGTTCAAGGGTTTCAAGTAAGATTAGAAACCACTTTCCTTGTTGCTTTGATTGCTCAGCATTATTGGCCTGGGACTGTTCCGGGGTCACATTTCCCACAGAGCTTATTGCCAAATATTATGTGTGCTTGAGATGCCAGCTTGCTCAGGATGCGCAGGGCATTCCCACTCACTCCACAGGGAATTGCCCAGGCTGTGCCAGAGGGCCGGGGCAGCCCCAAGGCTGTGGACCTCAGCCACAGCAAAGCGAAGTTTCACCTTTTTTTTTTTTTTTTCTGTTTTTTTTTTTTAAGAGAGCCTTCTACACGGACATCACACCCTGACCCTGTAAGGTGCCTTCCCCAGTGAGCAAGTGCTCTGCCCCAGTCCCCTCCGAGCAGAGGACACTCCAGCAGCGCCCACTGCACAGGGATTAGCAGAAAACGCCACGACGCTAAGGACGGAGCTGCCAGGCGAGGAAACCGCATCCTCAGTGCCACCGCACGGCACGCAGTGCAAGGGCAGCGTGCACGGCAAAGTAAAAGCAGGCACCTGGCACACCTGAGGGAAGTTCCTTCGCAGCTCCAACAAATCCTCCATCTAAATCTGAAGCTCTCTTCCTAGCTACCATGTTTACTAACCGAGGCTAAGACCCAAGAGATGCTCCACTTTTCCCCACACTCCGGCTAGAAGTGTCCTTGGAAGGAGAAACCACCAAAATAAATTAGGAGCATCCCCTGCCATCTCATACTGATGTGAGTCTCTGTTGGAATGAGACTTGACAACAGGCAATAGGCTCTCAACAGGTTTCTGGCAGTAGGTCCAGATCACAACTTCTTCTGCTGAGGACCAAACCCACAACGATCTTGTGCTGCTCTGCACCACTCAGATGCTGAACTGGGATGGGAGCAGTCAGGAGGTGATGCTCAAGCATCAGGAATGGGGGATGGTGATGGTCCCAATGCAGAGCTGTGCTGACCATGGCTAACTGGTGCAGGAGAAGCAAGAAGCTCCCCAAGGGGGGGCTGCAAAACCTACTAGGGGGGCACAAGTGATGAGCTGTGGGATCTTACTTTTCCATGCAACGCTGTTTAAGCCAGTGCACCCTGAAAAATGCACCCTGAAAGGGTGGATGGATGGATCCACCAAAGGCAGTTCAGTCTCAACTCGTCACCCCATGAACTGCACCGTGGTCTACCAGCACGCTGGCCCAGGCAGTGAGGGCAAGGCAGGCTGGACCCTGGGGAAGGCAGTGGGTGAGCCTGGCATGGGCCGGAGCCCAGGGGCCCTGCAGAGCAGCGGGAAGAGGCTTTCTGGCTCCAGAGCTGAGCCCAAGCTCGCATATGTCGGGAAACTTCCCATGAATGCAGATGGAACGACAGTATCACTTGATGCTTTTAAGCCCAACCTTGTCTATTCCTATTTAGAGCAGCTCGGGGTGGGAAAGCAGCAGCAACGCCAGAGGTCCTGTACCCATCCCGCTGCTGCTACCAGGGTTGCAGCTCTGGCAGCCACGTGGGCTTCCCGATAAAAACCAGGGCTGGGATCAGCCCTCTCCATCTTCCGAGGAAAGCAAAACCCAGCCTATTTGACAGCCAGCCCTTTCCTTCAGAAACAACCTGTCCCGGCTGGAAAGCTGGGAGCACCCAGCTGGATTTTTTCCAAAGACCCTGGTCACAAAGCAACTGGCAGAGGCGTTAAGGGAAGAAATTTGCTCGCCAGCTACTGGCCAAGTAGCAATGACCCAATGCTTATCGGTGTATGTCTGGCAGCCAGCGTGCCCAGGGAGGAATGCAGATAGCACCCCGAAAGCTGCACCTTTCCAAAGCACCTCTTTCCCAGGCAACTCAACAGGTATTATGATCAGATACTGTAATATCATCAGTTAAGGTTTACACGTTTTTAAAGAAAATACTGGTAACCTGATGGTACTTCTGCATCTGTGGGATATGGTGGGATTTATTCCAGGTTTGGCTTTTCTGACAGGATGTGGAGTTTTATTACAAAGGCACAGGTATCAAATAAAACCAGCAACATTCTTTTAATTAAATATCCCAATAAAAAAATTAACACTCAATTTAGGCTTTACGTATTCCTCCCTTATTAAGAGACTAGTTTTGGTTTTTTTCCCCTCTGGAAAGGTTTTAGTGCAGTGATTATATAGCAACAGAAAAATAAACTAAAAAAAGGCACAAACTGTTTTGTGTTTTTTTTTTTTTTTCTTTCAACTTTTGCTAACACTTTATATTTGTCTATTTTACTTCGGTTAATAAATCACTGAATGCAGCAAGAAAATATTCTGCCAATTTCTGTACACTATACAAAAACCCCTACCAACAGTACATTATTTCAGCTTCAGGAGAAATGTACAGCATAGAAAGACTTTTAAAAATATAGTGCCCCATACAGAAATTTTGTTAATTAAACTCACGGTCTCTTGCTACAGTGCCCTTCACCATCCTCATTTTCCCCCCTTATTGCTGGGACCCACGCGGGGACTCTGCCCTGCCGGCTCCTTACAGGCTGGATCGAGCCCGAGCCCAGCTCCGAGCCCGCTACCGGGGCTGTGCCAAACGGCTCCTCCGTCCCCGGCATCGGTGCCCGGTCCGCGGCCCCGGCAGGGATGGGGTGAGCCCCCTCCCCGCTGAGCTCATACAGCACTGCCGGCCGCGTCTCAGTGCTGGGAAAGCTTTCAGCTGGAGAGGAAAGGGCAGCTCTCGGTAGGGGAGAGACGCAGGCAGCATCCCACGGGTGGGTCTGTGC